GCATAGGTAATAATTAAAAATTTAGTTTATATTTAGTAAATTATTAAAAAATAGATAAATAATCAATTGAATAGATTAAATATAAGGGTGTGATGGTATAGTGAAATAGTCAAATTGTTATTCTCCAAGTAATATATCAAGAGTTTAAATTTTATTGATAACAAAAATTTAAAAATTCTGCTTGTATTATAACTAATTATATTTAGTTAATTAGTTAGAATAGGATTTTTATATCTATAGTTATATCAACAAGACTAAAAAATCTAAAATATTTGTATGACAAATATTATATAAAGAGATACAAACTAGTAATAGAAGGTGCAAATACAAGATAAGCCTCTGGGCTATATAAATCTGTAGAATTGCAAGTATAAAAACCTACTTGGTAAAATCTAAGTAGGCAATAATACAGATCTTTGATAGAGCTATTATAAAGGTTAGATCCAGAAAACAAAATTTATATAAACTGAACCAAATAAGAGACAAGATATTAGAGAATACCTTTATTAACTAGACTACTGCAAATAGATATAGAGCTAAGCAATTAGCTAGAAAGCTTTTGTAATTATAAAATTATAAGTATATTATAGTATTAATACAAAACTACTAGTTATTTTATCAGGAAGATATCTGTCTAGATATAGAAGAAAAGTATATAATATTAGGCTATCTAGTTTGAAAATAAAGAATTCTTTTGGAAGCATCAATATTTAAATAGATAAAATTACAAATACTAACTAGACCACTATTAAACTTGAAAAAAAATAAAGTATACATACTAAACTATCTGAATTGAAAATTTGAAGAAAGAAAGCAGAGATTACTAAAATACTAGAAATATACTATAAAGTAAATTCTAAGGTTTGAGTAAACTCCACAAAAGCAAAAATAGATTTGAATAGCAGAATTCAAATCAAAATATATTAAATATAGTTGGAAGAGAAGAAAGTTTAAACCAGAAGAAAATATAAAATTATAGATAAACCTTTGACTTAATACAATATATACTCTCAGAATAGATAAAACTGAGTTGCTAATAATAGGCTATGGTTTATATGTATCAAACTAAAATATAGATCATAAGCAATAAAAAATAAAAATACTGTATACTTTGCTAGATTTATCTCAAGAATAAAAGACCAGAAGTAGGTTAATAAGAAGATAAAGGTCTGCTTTAAAGTTTTAAGTCATTATGTGAAATGTGTATCAAGAAGACTAGTTCATAGAATTAGAAGAATAGTTACCAATTGATATAGATTTTGAAATATATAGACAGAAAATGAAATAGATAACCTCTAGTTAGATTATAGATATACAACTAGTGTAAAATCTAATAATAAGCAAACTACTTAAATAGATATTCAAAAGCTACAGATATGGCTAGATATTCTCTCCAAATATATATAATAACTGTTCTAATACAATAAAAAATATACTTGACCAAGAGATTATCTTAATATCAAAAAAAAAAAGATTAAATATAGTAACTCTATCAATTATATTTTGTTATATTTTTTTTTCGATGTTAAGGTAATCTCTCTGTCACATTACTTTATTCAGTTATAGTTATAATTTTACAGTATGATTTTCATTTATATTTTGTTATATAATTTAGGTGAGTTTCAATTACTCTAGTAAATTTAGATTGCAGATAAATTAAATTAATCTAAGTTTTATTTTTATAAAAATTTATAAACTAGTTCTGATCTAAGATACTTCTAGTAGCTATCTAATACAAATAAATAAAGATAAAAACAAAACTTTATTTTAAAAAAAAATATTAAAAAAAAATATTAAAAAAAAAACATTAAAAAAAAACATAAATACATAAATTAAGTTTGTTTTTTTATATATAAATTTTAATTTGCTCTAATAGAAACAAAATAAACTTTTTTTAAAATCTAATTTTGGTTATATAGACAATTAACACTCTCTAATCTAAATATTCCTAATCCAAACACTATTAAATTCTCTCTAAACCAAACAAAAAACTTTAAAACATTTGTAAATTTTATTATAAAGTTCAAATTAGCTAATAATAACTCTTTAAGAACCGAATCTAAAAAATTTTTTATATATAAAAACCCTTAAAGAACATTTTGACAAGAGAAAGAGTTGATCGTATAATTCTAATCTCTTTTTAACCTTTTAATTTAGTTTTTTTTATTTCTTTAAAAAAATTGCTAATATTTAATTGTAAAATAATAATTTAATATACTTTTTAGATAATATTAGGTTTCTAATACAGTAAATCATATATGAATACTGTTAGAAATAGTTGCATAATGTTGACTTTAAAAAGATTAAAAAAATAATTTTGTATTACAATAATACCAAATAAAAATATCGCCTAAATAAAAAAGATGAATTTACAGATAAGGGCCCAAAAATGAAAATTACAAATAAGGGACCAAAATAAAAATAATTACAGATAGAAACCCAATATTTAAAAATAAGGGGCCCAAAATAATTATGCGCCTATGATTTAAGCCCCATTTTGATGATTTGAATATAATTTTAATATAGTCATTAATTGTTAGTGCATAAAAAATGTGATAATAATTCTTATAACAAACACCATACCATATAAAATTACAGATCGGTATGACTTTTACTAACATGAAAATGTTCATTTGGCCTTAGATAGTTATTCCGTTGAATTTTCTTATAAGTTCAGAACGAACAAACAAAATAAGTGTTTGCTATTTGTTTTCTAAATGAAACCAGCTCATGCCCTTTTAATATTTCAGCTAACAAGCGCAAGATGACTACATTCATATAGTAAGGCTGATACCTCATGATCTAACTTCTTTAACTTCTGTGGAAGCATTCAAAGCGCGTGGAACGTACCTTGTAAAGTTTACTGCATCATTAGTTAAAGATATAGCAGTACTTCGACCTTGTGATATTATAAATCGTGTTCGTTTTGAAGTGGGGGCTGAGACTTCGTACATAGTAACTTGGAGAAGTAAAGCTATTAGGTCACACAATGTTAATTTTTTGTTTTGCATTGCAGGTTTTCAAAAATTCGGTCGGTCGGATTGTTTTTAATTCTGAATAATGAGCTATAACTCAAACACCTAATTAATTACAAAATGAGGCAATTAATAATAATACATTACATTTAAATAGGCTATTTTGATGGTATATTTGGGCCCTTATTTGTAATAATTTTTAAATATTGGGCCTTTATCTGTAATTATTTTCATTTTGGGCCCTTATTTGTAATTATTTTCGTTTCTGAGCCCTTATCTGTAAATTCCCCTAAAAAAATCTTCAAATCCTCAAAAATTTAAAATTTTAAAAAACTTAAAAAATTTTTTTCAAAATTTTATAAAACCAAGTAATTAGTTATTATAAATTCTGGATAACCCAGTATAAATATTATAAAACTACATACGTATGCATATCTCCGGATACAGAAATATGATATTTTAGAGTATCGTCGCTGGCAAATAATTGAAAAAAGTTTAGAAGGCTTATCAGTTCGAAAAATTGCTATAAGTCGGGTTTTCAAGCATTTTCAAAGATATGGATATATATTTTTAAACCATTCGACAAATTCTTGATTTTCAAATATTAGTGTAATGTTATTCAAGTCTAATCTCCGGTGCTTTTTTTATATTTTTATTTGTTGACAAGAACAGTCTTGTTCATAAATTTTCGTACAAACTAAACAGAAACACGTTGGGTAAGAATTAATAAAAATTTATAATGTTGAATGTTTCGACATAATTATCTGTAGAACAAATATATATCTTTCATATCCGAAATAAATACAAATCGGCCGAAAATTATTCGGCTAATTTTTTATCAGGTGTCTCAAGATTTATGATAATAGCTGTAATTTTGTGTGGTCTTATGAATTTATGAAAAAAAATTCTTTATATTAGCCGTGTTGAGAATTTATTATTTACCAATAATTACGTTATAAGAATCTGTTGGCTCACGGCCCTACTTTAAGGTGACATTTTAACGTTAAGAGTCGATACTTTATTAGTAAACTGTGGCCGAAAGTTTAACGGCTCGATTTAGCCACTTGACTTGCGGCTAGGCTCATGCCGTTTGTATCACTAACAATATTAAAAGAAGTCATAAATATATATGAACATGAATTTAATAACCATACCAATACGAAACTTTAAATAATATATCCATAGTTTTTACGTACGTACGTATTATTGCATGTTTTTACTTAAGCCAATAATGAGATTTTTAACATTTAAACTTAATTATTTGTAAACAAGTTAAATAATAAGATTTAATTAAATAATATACGTATCTATTGCAGGTCAAGGTTGTATAAATATAGTTTAGTGTATAACAGTAACATTCGATCCCCTCAAGCTCTTGTGATTTTTCCTTAGTCAGGTGTGCACACAGTCATTGTGAGCTCGTAGAGAAATTTTGATACACACCACCTTAAAGAACATCCGTTTTGGAAATTTACCGTTTTCAGCAAAAATGCTATCGCTATTGCTAATGCTAAAAAAACAATCATATAACGATAAGTTTCATTTTAACAATAACTGTCAAACCATATGGTGATTTGTGTTATGTGTGATACAAATGCTCAACCGGACTTCGGTTTTCTTGGAAAGACACCTCTAATCGCAAAATTACTAATGATAATGCGAATTTGTTAAGTACATTCATTCGCAGAATATAAAATAATCTCATCCCTTTGATTTGTTCATTTCTTGTTTTGGTTTGATGTAGTTGGTTCTTTAGACACCACGAGACCACCGGCTTTATATCAACCGTTTGATTTGTGTAACACTCGGCGCAAAGGCGGAGTTACAATTCCCAAATGTGGCTCAAAACATAAATTCCCATGAGTTATGATTAACCCTTAGTTAATATTTCCTTTCTTTTTTTTTTTTTTTTTTTGCCGTTTTTTTCCCCACGGCATCCGTTTTTTTTTATATATAAAAAAAAAAAAACGGAATACGAATAAGCACAATTTTAATTAATTGAGTCCATGTGTCTTGAATATGGGAAGGCGTCTCAATGCTATTAAAAGAAAACTAGCCAGAGCCTTTAAAGATCGAAAGCATAAAACTTCTAGATCAAGTACACCGGAACTTCGTGGATATTCATCTGGAAACAGTCAATTGACACTTCCGGCTGATTGTCTTATTGATATATTTTCACATTTGGAAGATGATCATAAATCACTACAATCGTGTGTTTTAGTCAACAGGTTATGGTCTAGGAGTTCAGTACCTATATTATGGGCTCGGCCTTTTAAAGATTCAACGCCATCGTCAATCATTGATGTTTATATGTCATATTTAACTGACCTTGAAAGAATACATCTAGTTGATAATGGTATTTCTGTTACCAACCGTCGACGAAATCCGATCTTTGATTATGTATCATTTTTGCGTCATGTTAGCATGGGAAGTCTTTATACCATAGTTCTTAAATGGACAGATCGGACACAAACATCCCTTTCTACTAATTCAAAACGGTAGTTTAACGTTAATATATTTTTTCTTTACCTATAATATAATATAAATTTGATGTAATGCGTATGTATATACTTTACTTTTTCCTCTAGGCGTAGTCATAATACAGAACCAAGTTTGGTAATATATCAAGCGTTATGCAGATTGTTCTTCAGTCGACGTTCGAGCATTAGGTCTTTATCCCTCGACTGGGGTGATATGGAAATCTGGAAAGCGTATCCGCTGCTACTCTACTCGGCCGGTATAGACACTTACCTGGCCAAATTAAGACAATTCTCTATTCACTATATAACTGATTGGTCAATATTTGGTTACTTAGCCAAATACGCCAGGAATATTGAAAATTTACAGGTTCTTGGTTATTCTTTTAATATTCCTCCACATCCTGAGGATGAACAAAATTTAGCATCTTTGATAAAAATTCAAAAGAACTTATTACACTTTAAGTTATTCGGATACGCAACATATCCTGTTTTAACTCTTATTTCATTGGGTGCTCAAGCAAAATCTTTAATATCTGTGGAAATTAGTTACATTCATTTTACTTCAACCACATTGCAAGAGCCAACTTTTGAGGGGTTGGCTGCATGTAGAAATCTTGAAGAGTTAACTATCTTGAATTGTTTAAATGCCACTGAAGAAATTTTATCTCCATTAGTATGTGCTACATTTCCATCTCTTCGTAAAATACATATAGTAGAGTCAACATACGGGTGGGATAATGTAGTAGTTTCATTGATTCATAATAATTCTACAAACCTAGAAGAAGTTTATTATAAACCAGTAGACAATCAACAACATCATATAATGTCTCCAACAATAATTGAATCAGTTGCTCAATGTTGTCCTCGAGTAGTGCGACTTGGCGTTCCTATAGGTACATTACAGATAAGTCATTTGACTGATATCCTTACATCACCAGATTGTCAACTTCGAAGTCTTAGTATATTTCGAATGGATCGAGTATCTTGGGATAGTGAAGAATTGTGGAGTGGGTTGGGTAGTTTAATGCCGACTACATTAAGGCATCTTAACATTTGGATTTATTTAGGGGACACACCTATGCAATTGTTTTTACAAAATACTCAGGCACCTTTAGAAACTTTATATGTTAGATGGTGGACTCATTATCTTGGATATGATTATCAATTAGTTGGTGCTTATTTAAAAGACAAAAAAGTGGGAATTTCGGAATTTTTAAGGCATGTTATTTAATAAAAGAATTATATATATTTATAATATATTTATTTATAGTGTTATTTGCGTTAGATGGTTATTTATAAAAAAATGGATATATGCATGTATGTTCCTCATATAATATGATGATCGTAGCCTTCTTCGCGTGTGATGATTATATGAATGCAATCTACAATTTTTAATAGATTACTCATCCGTTTTAATTTTAAAAGGAGCTTTACCTGACAGGCCACAATCTTAGAATTTTTTTCTGAGTAATGTGTCGACCAGATTATCAATATTAAATATTTCAGATATTTAGACTATTTATAACGATTATATTCGACTTAGTAAACTAGAGTTGGGATCCGAATATTTCTGTGCGAATATCCGTGTAAATATCTGTGTGAATATTCTGTGCGAATAGTTGATAAGTATGAGAACCGTAATCACGTGAGATTATCTGAATTCTCTATGAATACCTACGAATTTTCTATGAATATCCACGAATTCTCTGAATATCCGCAAATTTTCTATGAATTCCCTGAATATCCGTGAATTCTCTATGAATATCTATGTAATTCATTCATTATTATTCGCAAATGATTAAAATCCGTGAATATTCATTAAATAGCCGTGATGGATATTCAAAGGATCCCAACTCTATAGTCAACTAAGTCAACCGATTGTTAAAAAGTCGACTTAGTCGAGTCGATTAGAACTGCATATAATAGTGAATACGGCCAGACATCTTAAGTACGATAGGAGAAACTCAGGATGCAAATCTTTATACACTATGAACGATCGATTTGGCATAGTTAAGTCGATAAATTTAGGTTGACCACAAATACTAACCCTAATTATTTGTCGTTGATGATCTACAGATACGCGTTTCTAAAAATAGAGTTTAAACGTGTATATAAAGGTCTATTCTCCAATGTTAATTTCTATTTTTCTTTTTTTTCTTTTTTTCTTTTTTTTCTTTTTTTTTTCTTAAATTGGAGGTGGACGATTTTTTTTCAGTGTCTGCAAAGTGTTCATTAATTGCGTTTCGTTTTAGAAATACGTGAGTACTAGCCGTAATATCTATTTATAAATTATGCATAAAAGCATTTTAAAGATATAGAGACCTCTCTAGATGCACTCCCCTCGGGATCATAGTAAAAAATTTCAAAAATATGCACCAGCAAAAATATATAGTGTTATTATAAGCTGGGACCAGGATACAATGTGCACTTAAAGAAATTTTACATAGAGGGTGCATTTACGGAAGGTGCATTCAGGACGGTCTTTTTGTATTTAATACAAAATGATGGAAATATTTATTAATATATATTTTCATTTTATTGCCTCTAAAAATAAGGTTACGAAAGTTATATTCATTAATTTTGAATTAAAAATTTAAAATACAGAAATAGAGAATTATATTATGATTATTTAAGGTAACAAATATTAATTTCTTTTAAAAGATGTTTTTTGTTATAATCAGTGTTGGGTAAATCAATGGTCAAGCAAAAATTTGCTGGTCAAATTGGTCAATTGGTCAAACTGGTCAAGTCTATTATATAAATATAATATATATATTATATAATAAATTAT